CCGTTTTGTTTGGGTTGGGGCCGATGAATGCAAATGAGATAATTCTTAGGACATTCTTTTGAAAATTAGGTTATTCACAAGGACGTGTATGCAATTTTTGAAATTTTAATTAAATTGCAATCTATTCTACGGGCTAAATAATAAAAATGTATTAAGTAATATTATTTTTTAAATAAAAATAATTTATAAAAATGTATAAAATAATATTATTTAGTATATTTTTATATGTATTATGTATTATTCAATGAAACATAATATAAAATATTAAATAAAAATATTAAAATATTAAATATATTTTATAACGTAAAAATTAATTAGTTCAACTATTTAGATTAATCCGATTAACCAACCGGGAACCCAAATAATTTGATTTGGTTTTAATTTGAATTTGCACGTAAAAAACCAATACTGCAAAAATGTTTTTTTTGGGTTGGAGTTTATTTTGAAAATTTGATTAGTTATAAGGACTTAGTTACAATTTTAAAGGTTTAAATATATTACAATTTGGTTCATGAGTCTAATCTGTAATTTATTAAAAATATAATAAATATTAAAAAATAAAAATAAATGCACACTACTAGTACATAAATGCACGTTAATTCATAAGAGTATGCACATTAATTCATAAGAATATGCACGTTAAAAATTGTGTCAAGTAATTCAGTTTGTTTCCAATTTGAGTTTGGACAAATCTTTAGTATGTTCAAACTGTACAACAACGACCAAAACAGTGCATATTAATGGTATAAAAATTGCACATTAATGTGTGACAGACTGCACATTAACGGCCAAAATCGACCGACCTAAAATTTTCGGACCGGATGTATATATGATTATGCATATATATAATTTTTACTTTTAAAATTTTAGTTATTTTGATTCAATTATTTGCCATTACTTTCAATTAGATTCAGTGTCGGATTTATATTCTTATATACAAAATTATTCATCTCAAAAAAGAAATATAAAATATAGATATTAAAATGCAAAATATGTTTTTATATATTAAATAATATTTTATTTTGATTATTTTGGTTAATTCGGTTTACCAACCGAAAAAAGCTACATATTTTGGTTAACCAACCGAATAAACTAAATATATCGGTTCAATTTTAATTTAGTTCGAGACAAAAGTTCGACCGATCCATAATGGGTTGTGTGTGCACAACAGCGTTAAGCAACTTGCACATTAATAACTATCATATTGCACTTTAACATTTACATATTTTTATGTGAAAATATTATTTATTTTTCAACGAACATAATATAAAAATATTACATACTAAAATACAATTACGTTTTAACATAAACAATAAGTTATTTTTCAATATTTATAATAATTCGGTTAACCGTTCGATTAAACTAAGTAATTTGGTCAGATTCAATTTGGTTTAGGACAAATATTCAGACGATTACGTTTGCACAATAACGACCAAAATTGTGCACAATAGTGTTGGACGAGTTGCACAATAATGTTTGTCTGACAACACAAGAACGAGCGAAGCTTAGCGATCTAAAATTTTTATGTTCAAAATCAAATCTTTATATTTCAGTTCGAATATTTACTTATAATTTAGTGCATTTAATTATTTTAATTCAATATCGACATTATTTTAAAAAAATTACATGTCAATATTGTGTCTTTACTAATTTTTTTATAATTCTGTATACACATTGTGCAAATTACTTATGAGTATTGTGCATTAATTAAGGTTTAATAAATTACAAATTTAACATAAGAACTAGATTGCAATATAGTTATATTAATCTAATTTGCACTTAAGCCCCTGGCACATGTCCAATTCTCAACATTAAGTCCCTAATCCTATCAACACTCCATCAATGTCGTTCATCCCGTTCTGCTGCAGCGCACAGGTCCGCGACGTTCAGTGACGTGATAATGACACCGGATCGATCCGACGACGCGGCCTGAAACCTAACCCGTCGTCGGTGTATTGAGATTAGTAATCAGGCGAAATAGTGATTTAGGGGTTTCCAATTAGTAACTCGCCGTCGTCGACGAGAAAGTGACAGAAACTCGACAACAAATGCAGAACGCGTATCAAACCAATAAAACGTCAGTCAAAGGCCGAAATAGCTCGGCGGAGAGAAGAGGCGGACGACGACCTTCACTGATGATTATCTGAAAACGGGTGAGATAATTGAGAAAGATAGAGATGCATATAGATGACGGGAGAGTGATGAAGGCGACGAAGATGGTGGCGATTGCGGCGACATCAGTGGCGGTCGGTGGCGGGGACTGTCGTGTCGGTCCGGCGGCGGCGTGAGTGAAGAATTCATGTTATAGGTGAGAGAAAGTGTGAGAGACAGAGAGCGCTGAGTCGGGTGGGTTTGGGTGGGTTTTGTGGGTCCCATTAGTGGAATAGTATAATATTGTTGTATTTTTTTTTACCCTTAATAAGTGGTCACATGTAAATATTTGACCATTATTTGTACACTTAATTACAAGAATGCCATCATATATTTGACTGTTATTAATAAAGTTTGACTTGATCATGATCATTGATTTGATAGATTGAATGGTATAGATT